GCCTGGCCACTGGACACTTCTTCTGAGTGGATTGTCTCATTCTCTGCTTGATCTTTCCTTTCATTTAAAGATATTTCTATTTGGAGGAAGGACTCTGCAAACACTGTTGGTGGAAATGTAAAACAGCACAACACCTTGGTAAAACAGTTTTGGCAGTTTCTTAAAAAATTAAACATGCATCTATCATATGACCTAGCCATTTCACTCCTAGGTGTTTACCCAAGAGAAAAGAAAATCTATGTCCAGACAAAGACTTATACACACGTATTCCTATCAGCTCTATTTTTAATAGCCAAAAACTGTGAACAACTCAAATGTTCATCAACAGGTGAATGGATAAACAAATTTCAGTTTATCCATACAATGGAATAATACTCAGCAATAAAAAGCAATATATTATGCATAAATCTTAAACTAATTGTGGATGAGTCCTAAAATAATTATGCTGAGTAAAAGAAGCCAGGCAAAAAAAAATTACTTATTGTATGATCCCATTTACATAAAATTCTAGAAAATGCAAACTAATATACAGTTACAAAGAGCAGATTAGTGGTTGTGTGGGAGTGGAGGTGGGCAGGGGCAGGAGGAGATTTACAAAGCTGCACAAGGACACTTTTGGGGGTGATGGATGTGTTCACCGTCTTGACTGTGGTATTTCATGACTGTGAACATACGTCAAAACTTATCAACTTGTACATTTTATGTATAAGTTATTGTATGTCACTCATACCTCACTAAAGCAGTTATAAATTAATAGATATAAAAGAAAAAGACTTCTGTAATAATTTGGACATCAGAAAACACTTGTAATACATCATCTCTGTATTACAGATGTTACATGCCACGTTAAGCATCCAACAGGGGAGAAAATTCAAACTCACTCACAAGATGAAATATCTTAATAATAATTTGGTACAAAAGTCTTGGGTAACCAGAGCTAGTAGTGAATACACAGGTCACAGATGTTCTCATTTTCAGATACAGTGAATGACAGGCATTCTTTATTGAGGTCATCTCAAAACTATGTGTTCCACATTTCCAAAAACAAAAAAGGAATAGAAAACAGGAAAGCAAAGAAATAAAAGAAAGAACAGAATGGACCAAGGTTACCAAGCCACTCACTGACTTTACTTTTTCCTCTTTTTTTCAAATTGAGCTATCATTCACATACTATAAAACTCACCCTTTTAAAAAGTACAATTCACTTGTTTTCAATATGTAACAAAGTGGTACGACCATAACCACTATCTAATTCCAGAATATTTTCATCACTCCAAGAAGAAACTCTGTACACATTAAGCAGTTACTCTGCATTTCCCCCTCCCTCTAGCCCTGGCAGCTACTAATCTACTTTCTGTCTTTGTGGATTTGCTAATCCGGACATTTCATATAAATGGAATCATGCAATATGTGGTCTTTTGTGTCTGGCTTCTTTCATTTATCGAAATGTTTCCAAGGTTCATCCATGCTGTAGCATGTATGAGAAGTTGATTTCTTTTTATGGCTGAATAATATTCCATTGTGTGCACTTTTGGCTATTAAGGATAATGCTACTGTGAACATTCATGCACAAGTTTCTGTGTGGATGTATGTTTTCAGTTCTCTTGGGTATATGTCTAGGAGTGGAATTTTGAGGCCATACGGTGACTGTGTTTAACTTTTTGAGGAACTGCCAATGTATTCTTCGAAGAGGCTGCACCATTCTACACTCCCTCCAGAAATGTGTGTGGGTTGTAATTTCTTTACCAACAGTTGCTGTTGTCCATCTCTTTGACTGTAGTCAGTCTGGTCGGTATGAGGTAGTATCTCAGTGTGGTTTTGATTTGCATGTCCCTAATGGCCAATGATGTTGAGCATCTTGTCATTCGTTGATCTTATTAAGCCTCAGAAAATAAACAGGATTAGACCTGACTAGCACCTGAATAAACCACCACCTTGTCCTCCCCCTTACTCCCTTTCTATGCCAAAATTTGTTATTTATTCATTCATTCAATGAGCTTATACTGAGGCCGACTCAGTCTTGGGTTAGGCAAAGCCAAGCATTCAAAAGAAATATTTAATAGAAATGCTGGCCTCTGCCATCAGGAAGCTTTACTTGTAATTAGGCATAAAAGTGGCAAAAGAATTATAATGAATATATACCTTAAAGATACTGTAAAGGATGTGTATCTTAAAAGATTACACCAAAGACCCTTTGCAGGTGGCTATTTCCTCCCTAAAGCCCTACAATCCCTAGGCACTTGTAGAAGCTGTAACCAACATACAAATTGCCTAAAAACATTTAGCTGTGCATATTTTGAAAGGTGGGTTCAGGGCTTTGTAGGTTTAATAAATGTCCTGTTTCTAGTGTGCCCTGGCAGATTGCTGGCAGATTCATTTGACAGAGTTTTGTTATATAACATCTATGTGTAAATAGCTGACATTCCAGGCAGGCTGCTGGGTCAGATGTTTGGGCTTTTCAAACCCAATGTGTACACTAATGCAGAAACTGCACCGGGCAGGGTGAGGGCTCACCTCTGCTCTGGTGTGCTTCCTAGAGTAGCATTTCCTCCATCTTCTCCCCAGGCCTAGGGGGTTAAACGGTTTGGTTTCCACTCTTGCCACATCGTAGATTCCTGCTGTCTTTCTTCCTAAACTCCCTGAGGTTGGGCCAAGAAGACACGTGGGCAGCCTCTTTTATAGAAGATTTAGCAACCGAACTGGTAATGTTAGAACATGGTGTTAGAGAAGAGAGTTTGGCACGTGGCCTGCATTTCCAGAGTCTTCTCTCCCTCTGTTGATCTTTGAGAAAACAAGAGAAGTAGGCACAGCAGTGAGGGAGAAAACATTTGGAATCAGCAGAAACATCAAACGGCAAATTTCTGTATGTCTGGCATTCAAACTGGGAACAGAAATAAGTTTCTATAGGCTTAACTGAGCAGATAAGATATAATAAGCTTCTTCCACAATGCTTGACACTTAATAAAATACTGGTTGAACCAACTGAGTGATCAATCACATGCCTGGAAGACATTTAAAGAAAACTATTAAGTCCATCTTTCTAAACTTAGCAATTGTGTATATGCGTCACCATGTATATATAAATTCTTAATAGTCATAGGACTTATGGTCCTGATAAACCATGTGCCCCATGACCGTAATGAAGATCGTTCAAAACTAAGGCATCGCTCCCTTGGATATGAGTCCCTGTTTTGCTGCTTACTAATTACATGCTTGGGGCAAGTCATTTAAATGTCAAAATCTCCTTTTCTTTACTGTTAAGGTTACTTGTATTTCTAAAAAGCAGTCTGTCCTAATTGGTACTCCTGGTGGCACATGTAGTCCCTCTGGGTTCTTCTATTTAGATTCCAGTTTCTTGTTTCATATCCAGGCCAGCTTCACTTTTCCGCAAAATGAGCAAACCTGCCTAAAATTAAAATAAAATAAAGTAAGCCTTAAAAAAATCACAGCCCCAACTTCTAAATTACTCCTCTGTCCTAGGACGTGAGTACCCATTTTAGCATGGCGGGAAAGAGGATACTGGCTGAGTCCTAAGGGCATGGCATTTGGTGCCTGGCAGATCTGGGTTCTGGTTCTGATTCTGACAGGTTACTAGCTGGGTAACCTTGGGCAAATTACTTAACTTCTCTAAGATCAGTTTGCTCATCTGTACCTCCCTGGGGTGTGGTTGTGGTGAGGTTTAAATGACATCGGGCATGTACATGGTTTAGAACAGGGCCTGGCACACATTGGTTATTATTATCTTGTCAAACATGACCTCTAAGATAGTTTCCTAGGAATGAAGGTGACATTTGCTCATGACATTTATTAAACTTTGAAAGAGTCACATATGCTAGTTCTTTAATTCCATTCTTCCCTCAACAAAAAGTCTCCATTTGGGTAGCAATTTATAGTTTAGGATCCACATTCATAAATCTGTATTTTTCCTCTAGTTTTTAGTCTGTTTCTCTTTTTATATGCCATATAGCATTATGCCAAGCCCCAACTTTTATACACAAAGGGATGATAAAACTGAAAAAAAGTAAAACATTGGCTATTAGATGCCCTCAAACTTAAGCAAATATTCCAAAGCATTTAACTAATTAATTATTGGGTTTTTTCCCCTTGGTAGGGCTATTATAAAGGATAGTTGTTTTTTACTTTATAAGAATTTTATTCATATGTATTCATTGAATATACATTATGACAATGTGAAATTAATATTCAGGCTTGCAAGATATGTATATTATCTCTTCTGTTCAGAGAGAAATGAGTACTACCTTGAAGGGCCAATGTCAGTTCAAGTAGATAATGCTTGACAGCTGACCACTGACAAGCAACACTTTGATTCGTTGCTAAATGCAATTATTCCTGCATTAACCTGCAATCACTCCTATGTGCCCAGCAGAGATAGGCATGCCACAGCAGCATCAAATAACTCCCGACCTAAAGGAATGTTTTTCTAGTTGGGGGAGAAATGACAAAAGGACAACACCAGACAGTGCATAATTACATCCTGCATTGTTCAGTGCAGGCTGCGAATGCTTAAGGCAATGGTTTTCCAAAAATTTAGGCACGCCAGGCTCTAAAGAAACCCTTTCAGGGGAGTCCATTATGTAAAATAGGCAAGGAGTTGAGTTGATGGAGGAGGACATGGGGAGCCCCTCCCCTAGGGCACCTACTGACAGTTTTGAAAACTGCCTGGACTTGAAAAATGGGTAAGATTTGCATGGACAGAAATGAGGGAGGAAGACATTCCAAGTGGGAGGACCAGTAAGTGCAAAGGTAAGGAGGTGGGAATTCAAACTAAGAAGGAACATGCCTTCCTCATGAACACCCAGTGAGAATGAGTTGGCAAGTGGTAAAAGGAACCCATGTGGTTGCTCTTGGTTTCCAACCTGAACTCATTTTTTAACGTTTTAAGCCTGGTAAAATAGTTAACAAATTCTCTAAATTAGGGCAGACAGGAAGCTTAAGGTTAATGGTAAAGTAACGTGTCTTGTCATGATTCTTTATTTCAGAGTCATTTCAAGTTGTCGTGAGAGGAAATGGCTTCCGACATGCCCGCAACGTGGACAGGGTCCTCTGCAGCTTCAAGATCAATGACTCCGTCACGCTCAGTAAGTCCTTGCAGGGTCTGTGGGTGTCTTCAGCCTGCGTCAGGGAAGGGAAGTCCCAGCCCTGTCCTCCAGCAAGGCCACACACATGAAACCGAGAGTCTTCCCTGCTGGAAGGAAAGGCCTCCGGCAAGGGCATAGCTAGCCCCTGCAGTGCCTTGGTTCCCATCAGAAAAGAGGGGCACTGCCCCATGGGTGCCCAGCTTGGTGTGTCCCCCACGGCCTACACAGCCACGAACCGCAGCCCTGCGCCAGCCCTCAGGGCGCAGCGGGGCATTCGTTTCCTCGTCCACAGTGTTGACTAAGTGGTTCCCTGTCAGGTGGCAGTGCTGGTGCTGGTTAGTCAGGGCTGGTGACGCTTGAGGTTCCTTAACAAAGTATTGAGGACTCTCAAAGGTAAGAGTGAAAAAGAGATGGTCTAAATTTCTGAATCCTGAATAAACCCAAAACCAAACTATTAGACTTGCACATGTAGATTCTGCAGCTCTGTTCAGTCTGGATGATTCTTGCTTGGAGTAGCCAAGAAACTCTCATCATGGTGAATACCTTACATGAAATGTGGGAATGTGGGAGTAAAACTAAATGCATGTCATGGGAAAAATGGATTATCATAGCATTGGCACCTTCAGAGACATTTGTAAAAGTCAAGTTCCTAATTCAAAGACATGTGTGATTCATGTGGTTGACCAGGATAGATGGAGAAGATGATTACGGGGGGACAGATGCCAGGAGTCCTGGTTATTATTTGCATCTGGCATCCATCACAAAGATAATTATTGATTCCACCTCTGCAGTGATAAACAACAGTCATAATATCTTGCATTTTCCGTCGTGCTGTGTACTTTCTAAACGCTTCACATCTTTTTGCTGCAACAGCCCTGAGAGGTAGAAAGAGCAAAGAGGAGGGCAGGACACGCATTCATTGACTAACCACTCACGCTAGTCTCGTCCTCCTGATAGCCCTTTGAAGGACGCTCTCCTGTTTTTAAAGAAGAATTGAGGGGTATGCCTTTTTTCCTCCTTGACATTTTAAAACCCAGTTGAATATTTAAACAGACACATGCAGTAGCTTCCTCACAAACATCTGGAATTTCTGGCTTTGGAATAATTCCAAACATTGGAAGTATTCAGTTAGTTTTCTTAATATTTGGAAATGCTCTCACATACCCAAAAGTACATGCTACTTGAAAACATTTTAAAATATCTCTGGGTAGTCACAGTGTAAAAGTTGGACGTGTGCTTCTTTTCTCCCCCCTTTTAATTGTGATGTCACTTACATCCACCTTCCCTCTCTCTTTAACCAAAATTCCAAGTCTAAGATCAGAAACTTCTGAGGGTTTGATTCAAAGACATTAATACCTTCCAAAGACTCCTCAGGCAAGCGAGCATCAGACCCAACCTCTCAGAAGATAAATGGATGGGGAGAGAGATAACCTACCCTGCTGTTGCTTGGAAGGTTAAACAAGATGCTATGTTAAGATAAGAAGAAATGCAAATTTATTATGGATTTGTAGAGCGGCATTTTGAAGGCCTGTTTTTCAGCTTCCCCGTGAAACTTTATTTCTTAGGAAACCAGCCCATCCTCTTTCTCCCTCATCTCTTCCTTTTCTAATAGCATTCTTGCAAATACACGCACAGACTCGCCACCTCATTCCTATTCAAAAAGCAATAAAGGCTGTTGGGGTAGGGATTTGGCTTAAACCACAAACCTAGCTGTGCTTCCAGCACAGCGCTAACAGTCTGGAGAAGACGAAGGCACATTGATCACATTATATGCTGCAAGCAACACTCCAAAACTCAAACATACAGTTATTAAAAATAGTCAAACTAAGGGAAAAAATTAGAGTTTGAGGAAAACACCTGGCCTTCATTTATTAATTCACCTGTTTATTTTATCCAGTAAATAATATGAACAAGAACCTGTAGAGGAAGAAAAGATACAATGAAATTTCAAATTTTCAAATGCATATTCACATCTACATTTTTTTAATCTACCTTATAAACATCACAGTCTCTATTGGTTCTTCCCTGTGAGATAAAATACATTTAGATTTCTTTGCTTTTCCCATTTTCCTTCTCCAGCTCCATTCCCCAGGTTTTAAAATGTTACCCATTTTGATTTTTATATGTTTCTTTTAGAAGATTTTTTTCCCAAAAGTGACATTTTATTTTGTAACAAAAAGAGAATATAAGCACTGTTATTACTTAGAAAAAGACTAATTGGAGGCCTAGTAATGAACGAAGGCTTTTGTGGCTCCAGCCACTCTAAACATGATATAGGCCTCAGGGTCTCCAACAGATACAATAGCAAATTATATGAAGCAAAAACTATTAAAAGAACACATTGAAAAATTATATTTATAGTGGGAGATATTAATGTGATTTTCCAGGTTTTTGAATAAACTTATTAATAAAAAATTAAAGATATGGAGCATATGTTATGCCTTTAAAAAGTTATGCTTTAAAAAAATGACTGTGAACAGCCTTGCAAATTTATGCTAAGACACAAATAAAAATGCCAACCTGTTAAATCCAAAAAGTAGAAATTGTTTAGATATATTCTTAGATAATAAATATAACCAGAAAATTAAAACCATAGGTTAATATTTTTTTATGGAATGTATAGCTTTATTCTTTCTCCCCAAATAGGTATGGAAAATATAAATGTTATGTTTTAATACAAGCATACATCAAGGATTGATATCAACTTTTGTATAGTAATTTCTTCCATGATTTTTAAACTTTAAAATATTTCCTTATAGATAGTTATTGTGCTCTGTGTTTTACATACTATCTCATTCATTCAAATACTCATACATATATCTTTTAAACATGGCTACTGCTTATAGTAAAAATGCTCATGATTAATTATTTAAATATGAACATCTGTAAATTTTGTCTCACATAGATTAATATTAATACCTATTTCTCTCCCATTTTTCTTGACTGTGCTTAAAAGTAAAAGCAACTAATCACCACTTAGAAATCTAAGACAATTTCTGGATATGTGGCCAACACAATAGATTCAGAAAGTCTGGATAAAATATGATTTAAAAAATTATAACATGTGGTTTCATTTAAAGGAAAGAAGGGAAAATCCCCAAGTACAGGAAATAAGAAGGAAATAAAAAGCTAAGCAGGAAGCACAGCCGTGGGGGCTCCAGGCCTGGGAGCTTTGATCCGATATTAATGCAGATACAGGACACCAGGTCTCAGGCCTGTGCAAGGCATCAGGCAAGAGCAGAGCCCCCTGCAGAAGTCAGGCTCCAGAGGGCTGCACTACACATTAAAGGGGGCAAAGAAGCAGGCAGGGAACCAAATCTGCAGGTATAGTGATGTTATACCACTCACGTGATACAGTAGCATCAGGTCAAGAAACTAACCCCAAAATGTGTCTGTGGCTGTCCTGATCCTTGTGGCCCTGCAGAGGCTGTGTGCATCCACCCCCACAGGAACCTTCCACACAGCCCACACTCAAAATTGCTCCCAGCAAACAAGCCCCTCTGAAGATGGGCTCATAGCACAAAATGACAAACCATATCAAGGTGGGTGAAAGAAACAGGAGAACAAACAAGAAGAGAAGATCAGAGAACAAATTTGAAGGAGAATGTATTATAGAATAAACACATTTAAAATGTGTAAAGAGATCAAAAAGATCATAGGGGAAGAATACTCAACAAAGGCAGATTTGCAGAAGACCTGAGTGTCAATTCTAGATTTGAAAAATGTATTTATTCACCGAAATACAACTTTATGGATGAATTGAACAATGTGATCAGATACAGATGAAGATGACATGCATGAACTAGAAGGGAGATAAGAGGAAATCTCACCCCCCAACCAAAGCACCAGACCCAGATATTTTTCACCCAGGTGTTACCAGATTTTAAGGAACAGATAACCTATATTTGATACATACTGCTCCAGAGAAAAGAAATAAAGAAAAAGCTTTTTAATTCATTTTATGGTAATAATATAATCTTGGGTTTTTTTAAAAAACCTGGGCAAGGGCACTAGAAATAGAGAATCTTTGAGATCAAGCCCACTGATGACAGACATCTAATAAAATATTGGCAAACAAAATCCAACAATATATTTAAAAGGGACCAAGATTGCTAAGACAATTTTGAAGAAAGAGGGGGGATTTGTCTCTCACATAGCAAAATGTACTGATGCCAAAAATGTATTAAAATTCATTATCCATTCCTAATTATTAAAAAAAACTTTTAGAAAACTAGAATTAGGATAAGACTTCTTTAACATAATAAAAATATATCTAGATATTTGAATTCAAAACTCAGTATCATTCTAATAATAAATCATCATTTAGAGGAATTCACTTTTAAAATTCAGAAAAAAAAAGCAGGGCAACCCATTTCACCGTTGTTATTTATCATTGATCTGAAAGTTCTAGCAGCACTGTCCAATTGAACTTTCCATGACAATGGGAATGTTCTAATATGGTAGCCATAAGCCACATATGGCTGTTGGGCACTTGAAATGTGGCTAATGTGATTGAGGAACTGAATTTGTAATTTCCTTTAATTTTTATTAACTTAAGTGTAAATAGCCACATGTGGCTGGTGACTACCATATTGGACAATGCCATGAGCATTAAAATAATACGAGAAAACTGATGAGAGATAAATACAGGAAAGGGGACCAAGCATCATTACTCTGAAATAATGGTTATGTCTTCCTGGAAAACTAGAGAGTCAGCAGAACTACTATAAGAAGGGTATTAAGCTGAATGATTCAGAAGTAAATATCTTGCTTATACAATCAGTAGCTTTGCCAGAGTTCAGCAATGATCAATTAGAAAACATCACAGGGAAAATATAGCAACGACAAATAAAATCTAGTAAGAACTAATTTGACCAACTTTGTAAAGACATATATGAAGGAAGTTATTACAAAACTTTGTGAGGTATATAAAGAGAGTGTGAAGAGATGGAGAGACATAGACTCATGACATAGTATAGGCTCTGGAGCCAGACACCGAG